TATTTTGTTTAATTAGGTCTAAATCAAAAATGTTATCTTTCAGCCTGCTCAACATTTTTTTTTGTGATAACAAAATTGCATTTAATTCAAGTAATACCTATCCCAGTCAGCTTTTCATTTTGGCTGTTCTGTTAGCTATTTGATCTATTAAAATATGACACTATTAATAAAAAATGAATTACATCATTAGTTATTAAGGCCCTAAAATTGTTTGATACCTATTGTCAAGCACTTCACTAGATTAATTCATTAATTCAATTAATATCCATAGCAAGCCTCTCAGGGGTTACTATGCTAGACAAAAAAAGGTGTAAATGTAAGAAAAAACAGTGATTACTAGAGAAACACAATTCTGGGGGAAGAACAGATATGTAAACGTATACACAACACCATGTGAAAATTATTAGCAAAAGTGTTATGCGCAGAGTGCTCACTAAGTTCTTTTCTTCTGTAGTACATTATGAGTCAATAAGAGATTTAAAAATTTCAGTCATAGTGAAATGTATTATTTCATATGAGCTCACTGGTTAGATGTGTTATGTTGTCCGGTATGGTAGTCATGAGCCAAATGTGGCTATTTAAATTTAAATTTTTTAAAATTAAATAAAACTAAAAATTCAGTTTCTTAGTTGTGTGTCACATTTTAAACCTGCAATAGCTTCATGTGGTAGAGATAATCACACTTGATAACTCAGATTACAGAACAATTCCATCATCACAGAAAGTTCTCTTGACCAGTATGAGTATGGTGGGACTAGTTTACTTATCAACTCAAAGATCTTATTAAAGTTTGTAGTTAAGCGATTTTTCTAATTATTTTTCCAGAAAGAGGCAATGATCTTTTTGGAAAGCAGTTGTGTTCCAAATTAAGATTTTAAAATATTAAGCTATATGTCAAAAGCAAGTTTCTGGTTGTTAAATAGAGTGTTGTGTGCTATTTCCTAATGAAGTCAGAGCACCGAACTTCATTCATTTTCATTACTGTCTTGCTCATCATTGAATTCTCAGTACCTACTAAGGTGTCCAATACAGACAAATTGAAAAATAAATATTTATTGAATGTTGAATGAATAAATTGAATAAATAAATGAACAAATGCTTTTTTTTTCTTCTTTGAGAGGTAGTCAAATGAAAAGAAGCAGGTTTTCCTGCTGATAAGATCAGGTATGCCATGTGCTATCTTTCTGTTGCTGTTCACCATTTCCAGGTAGGGAATAGAATATTTGAATTAAAAAATAGAACGAAATCTTAAAGATAATTTGAAAAGATCTTAAAGATAATGCAGTTAATGTTTTTTAAAAGCAGATACAGCCAAAAGTACAACATAGGCAAGTTCATACAGTTAATTAGTAGCAGATCACAGGACTTCTATCATAGCAAATAGAGGATCATTCCTTTAATTGCCATAATTCAACATAAAAACACTACTCCAAGGTATGATAGAGTCAGCTCTTGTATTTTGAGAGAGTGTTTTGGCACTGTCGGGATTAAGATATCAGAATGACTGTGCGGCCCAACAAAATACCTTATTCCAAAATATGGATTCATGACGCATCAGAAAATAGTGTTCCACTCAAGTTGGTAAAGAAATTCAGTCATTCAGCCAGTTATTTAAAATGGAAAAAAATGTTTAGATAATCAGTTCATGATAACAGTACAGGAGGAAAGAAAAGTACCAAGATATACCAAAAAGTATCAAAAGAAATAAGATAGTATTTTACTTACTATCTTATCTCTTTACACTTGGATTTTGTATATTACTTTTGAAATATTTTTATTTTAATGTTGATGTGTATAATTATTTGAAGTCTTTTTTTCTCTTTATGATGTGAAAATGTGAATTACTCTCGGCTATGTTTATCATGAGTTAATCATCTGTTCATACCTCAGTTGGTGAGAGTGATACATAATTATAAGCACAGTATCGAAGGGGAAATAAATAGAGTTTGTGATCTTAAACTTATAAAATAAGCACGACAATTTCTAAGGGAGAAAAAATTTTCCTTCTGCTTTGAGAGCACTCAATTTAGATCAAGAATGTTGGGAAACATGATGTATCATGGCAAGGAAAACCATATGAACATCAAGAAACAGTCATTTTCCTGACGTGTTATTTTTTGTTTAGGCAATTACTTCTTGAAATAAAGATATCTGTTTTGAAGTTGAGTTGGATAATTACTATAGGAGAAAATGCTAAGAACTAGTTATTCATTCTGAAGCAACAATTGAAGAGAACTAAGAAATTCTAGAAGTTGTGTCAATTGGGTAGAAGCAGAACAGTTAAATTCTAGGATGACTGTATGCAAAAAGTAGGCTTTGGGCAGAAAGCCAGTAAGTAGGTTAAAGGCTTATAAGACACTACTGTTAGAAGAAGTCATGGCTGTACCATGATGAGTTTAAGACTCTACAGGCCGAAAGTTAATGAGACAAAGAGTTTTTAAATAACCACATATATGCCTGCTTATAGTAGAGAGATCTCATGGTAGGAGGTAATGGGAATGACTCAAGGTTGGAGCATCTGACTTGCTATGCATAAGGAAGGACCTTGGAAAGTAAAAATGGATAGAAAAGCAAAGTGCCAACTTAATCCCTGTTCTGTGTCCCCACTAATGCATGAATTATACCTATAACCCTCTTCTTGCCAGAGATGGATTTATACAGGGAGATAAGGAAAAAGTGAGATACAGGTTCCACTGGTATTTCCATGAGAGCAAGTTGTAAAATAAGCATCTTCTGCCCAAGGTGGAGAACTAGGATATGTCATAATGAACCACAGGTAGCAACATCTCATCTATACCATGATATATATTTATTGACATTATGATTCAATTTTCAGTGTCCTGTTGCTCAAGGATTTTTCCAACAGTTAGAAATGAACAGGGTGATGTTTTCTTCTAATATGTAATTCATCCCCTAGGATGCTTTAGATTGTTAACCAATAACAAATAATAGTAGGCAATATAAGTAGATTCCCATATTTCCAAACGAGAATTAAAGTATGCCGCAACCTTACAGAAAATGTGATGATGATATTAAATCTGCTGAGCTTGTTTCTATAAGGGAAATTTACCAAGAATACCAATAGAAATGATGTACTAAAAACACTATTGGTATGACACCTTAAATGACACTGTTTGCATCTGATTAAAAATGTAAATTTTAGTAATAAAGATGAATTCTTTTAATGGGTTTTCATCTTTGAATATAGGAGATTATACTTTGGATTCTGGAAGGTAGATTATGTCTTCAAAAGTTTGAAAAAAATATTTTGAAAAGATTTAAGGATATTTATTATCCTTACTCATTTGGTAGATAGAAAAGGCTATTTATTACCCTTACTCATTTCATACATAGACTTCCATTCAAGAATATTCTTAAAATGCTGCCTATTACAACCTTTGTTTTAACTTCTTATCTTTTCATAACTCTTAAACCTGAAGGAAAAAAGGACTGAAGACAGAACCCACAGATGATCCCTTAATGCTTATTTTTAAATATAATATATTGATATGATTCTAGTCACTAAATAAAAAACAAGAAAAACATAAAAATAAAAAACAAGAACTGCAAAACATGCATGGGCACTCCTTAAGTTGTTCCTCCAGCTGAAAAATAAAACTATATCAACCACTGAACAAAATGTATGGATTGTTAATAATGCAATATGTGAGTTATTTACCTTGTCTCTCCCACACACAGGTGACATGGGATCACTTATTAATCTTTCAAAACTGGTAAAGTGAAAGGTTGCCAGCAAGCAGAAGTCTTATTGCCAAACCTCTATCATTATTGTCATGGCCCTTCAATTACTTGCTTAGAGTTTTGTATTCCAAACTCAACGTTATGGATCACTTATTTTAATATGTTCCAAAACATTAAGTCATTTGCCTTAGAAGTAAAGTAACATATTTATGTTATCACTGAACCTGAAATATCACAGAAAAAATTTTAAAAGTAGTTATTATGATATATGTATTTGGTCCTCCTCTGTTTCCTGACTTACCATTACTAAAATCCCTGGAATTTCTAGGGACAGAAGATTGTCTCAGTATGCTAATGAGATAACTGGTGGTTGGGGGTTCTTAGATAGCTCCAAGATGGCAGCTTGTTACCAAAAGACAAAGGCAGGATCAGAATGTTGGGAATTTTAGTCCCATACACCAACCTCTGGGGAGAAAGAGCAACGTGAAAGTTAAGTTGGTCAATGGCCAATGATGTAATCAATTATGCCTACATAATGTAGCTTTCATAAAAACCTAAAGGACAGAGGTAGGAGGGCTTCCAGATAGCTGAACATGAGGAAATTCCTGGAGGGTAGCTCACCTGGGAAGGGCATGGAAGCCCCACACTCCTTTCCCCACACCTCTCTCCATCCATTTATTCGATTTGTCTGTTCATCTGTATCCTCTGTAATATCCTTTATATGAAGGAGGAAATGAAAGTAAAGTGTTTTTCCTGAGCACTGAGATGCTCTTGCAAATCAATCAAACCCAAGGAGAAGGGTCACAGGAACCCCAAGTTATAGCTGGTTGGCTTCCGAAGTGAAGTTTAGTCTTGTGGAGGACTGAGCCTTCAACCTGTAGGATCTGATGCCAAATAACTCCAGGTAGATAATGTCAGGATTGAAGGAAGTGCTCTGGAGGGTCACTTAGCTGGCGTATGGGAATAACCTCCACACATGTTGGTGACCAGAGGTCACAGAATTGTTTTTGTTGATTGTTGTGTGAGAGCAGGAAAAGCACTTTGGTTTGTTTTTCTTATTCACATAGTTATCTTAACTTCAATGAAGTTACAGAGCATGGTTTGCTAATGAATAACCTTGTGAATCTGAAACTCGTTTAATTAGAAATTTTTCGCCAAGATAAAAATACACATCAACCATTTTCTGATTTTAGCGATGTTAGAGATCAAAACAATTTGCTAAAAAACCAAAGTCATATAAGGCCATTTCACATTGAAAATCAGAGTTTTGCTGATATAGATGAAGAAATTGGACTTACCCCTGTCTGTGTCATACAGGAAGACAAAACAGTTCCATTCGTAGTGATCCAGTAGACTCAAGAGTGCTCCTCGTAACGAAGGTCTTAGTTGCAGCACGAACTGGCTCTCCCCCTCAGTAGGGAAACTTGGTGTGATGAGGGAGATATGTAAGGCGCTGCAGAATGAGGTCAAGGTATGTACCGACCTCTTATCATAGAGTCCAAAAATGGCAAATACTCCTCTAGAATACTGGGAACAGACTGAAACAAGAGGAAGAAAACACCACAAACTATTAGCACACTCAAATTGTTGACTTTAAAGTCTACATTCTAGAAAATTAAAAAAAAAATAAAAATTACCGAATCATTGGATCTGTCAGGAATATAAGATAAAGAGTAAAAGTGAAGTGTAGAATTAATTGCACAATCAATGAATTCTTGGGCTTGTACTCAAAGCCTTACATTGAGTAAAGCTGATCTGAATTAAAATTCTGCATTAAGAAGACAATTGGATTAAAGGGAAATTTGACTAAAATAAAAAAAAAATATGGCCTTCCATAATAATGTGGCAAATCCTATGCTAGAGAACTTTAGGTGTGACAAATCCAAAATTATTTTCTGCATTTTTTTCTTACATGCAAACATATAATAATATAAATTTGAAATTTTTGAGTATTAATTGAAGGAACATTTATAATACCTTTTGCCCTCCCGCATAAACTATAAGTACATATGTTCTATTCTTGAATTGGATTATAGTTTTCACTCCGCCTAAATTGTTACTTTTTGTTTGCTTGCTGTGGCAATTTCATTTTAATCACAGTCTTAGAGTCTCCTCGAATCATGTTTGAAAACAGACGTTAGGCTGCTAGAAAGTCATTCTTGGCATATCTGAGAGGTTTAGTGAATTTTGGGGCCAGCTGCGCACGTTCTAGGCAGACCAAAAAGTAAAGATAAACCAATTCCAAAACCCAACAGAAGCAAGCCAAATAAAGTAAGAGGACCCCAGGGAAACAGGTACACAGCCTCATCTTGCCTTTCTTGGTCCATGCTCCCAGTTGCTACAAAAACGGTGAGGCAACATCTAAATAGAAAAAGATTCTTCTCAAAATTCTTTTCCAATCATATTTTTATTACTCTTTTAACAGAACTGATTTCTGGTCCAAATTGGTGTGAGTTTCTCCAATTTATATTTTAAGGGACAGAAATCTGCAAAGGAGATACCATAAAGAAAGTATATTTGAATTCCAAATTCTTACAGCTTATCATGTATGGCTAACAGTCCTATTTCTTCTTGGCTTATGTAGCTAGCTTAAGAAGTGTTTAGGTCTATACAATTTTTATGTTTTCTGATTTTACTTACTAATCTTACTTGCATTAGCTATGAATACATAATATGGCAAGAATTAAATGAAATTATGTAAAAGTGCTATGCTATGAGGACATAGGATGTGATTAATAAGTGGCAGATTTTAACACAGATTTTCTATATGCACTTGTGTAGTTAAATAGTTTTATTTTTTAATAAGAGAATAAAAGGTTTAGTAAATGAAATACTACAGTTGATTCAAAACCAAGAAATGAGGTATTCAGATTCTAAACAGAAATACCATTTATTCTGATAGATATTATATTAAGGTTTATACAGAAATTCTATCAAAGAAGAGCCATCAACTAATTCTATGCTCACCAAGGAACTAGAATTTGATCCTCTGAGAAGACTGACCAACAGGGCAGGCTTGTTCTAACAATGTGACTGGCTATAATTTTCTTGCAAGATATAAGGAAGATTCTAATTTAACTTTCAGGCATCTTAAGTTTAACTTAATGCAATTCTGATAACTTAAGTGATTTAATAAATCAAGTTGCTGCATTAGACCCTAATCTGTAAATGTTCCACCAAGTCTTTGGATGCAAGTATGTAAGTGGTCCACATTTAACATCAGTAGAACCTGGAGTTACCCGGCTCCTTCATGTTTTCCTATTTTTTGTTCTACTGGTTTTCTTGCAAACTGAGGGCCAACTCTCAAGCTTTACATGATAAATAATATGGTTCGATTAATTTTTATTTTACTCTACTGAAAAAAGTAAATTGAAGAGCTATGGAATTCAAATCTGAGATCCTGGCTTTTAGTTTGGTGCTGAAACTATACACAAATTTTAATACTTGTTCTAGAAAATGTAAACAAACAAGATTTAGAAGTCATGTACTTTAACTTATGCATATAATGAATATTTACATAATCTTTTAAAGTATGCCACTTGAAAACCATACGATTTTCAAGCTTTGGCTTCTAAATTGTGTTTTTCTAGGAACCCCATAAGTTCCCTGGAAGTACTCATGTAGCTTTATATGAAGACTTTTGCTGAGAAAGCATTGGGTGGGCAGTGCTGGACTCCTTTTCTTGGTATCCCTCCCTTCCACCCTCACAAAAATCCAAGAGCACTTCTGCTTTCATCTATTTTAAATATCGAACAACTGACAGTATAAAATTTTATGTCCAAAGTGTACTACACTGCTAAAGTTCAAAAACAACAATTGTGCTATACATAAAATCCATCTACTCTTTATTCCTATTATATTGTTTTCATTGTAATCATTATAACTTTTCACTATTCTGGTACTCACTATACTATTTAATATTTTAATTTATTATGCTGGACCTCAACAAACAGTATTTTCTGATATTTTATTGTCTTCTACTGCATTCATTCATTTGCATCATCATACATATCTATTTATTCTGCTTTTCATAGTTGTCTGTCATTCTTCCTCTATTCATATATACTTACTTTGAAACTATAGTCTTAGGCTGATAAATTTGCTTCTGATGTATTCTGTCACTAGCATTTTACATTCCCTTTGCAAATTTATAGCTGTAGTCTTATTCTTTTAAACATTTATTTTTTCCTATTTTATCTAGATCATAGGCTTGGCAAGTGAGCGTTATTGGGTTTTGTGTGTATGAGGATAGATTGTCAGTCAACTATTCAATGTTGTTATGTTGGTATGCTAACTTGGATAGTATTTTATTTGACCCAATGGTTCAAATTTTAAAATATAGCTCTTTCCATATATAGTATTATAATCTAGCTTTGAAAACACTCTTTAATCAAAATTTTGCTTGGCTGAATCTTATGGCATCTATTGTTACTTAGCATACAAATAATTATTCAAACAATAAAACTTCTTATATTATATAAATAAACTCAAACGTAAATTAATGAAAGTAAACTAAGCTGAATTGAATGTGTTCAGAATACATAAAATGGAAAAATGTAAATTTTAATGTTTTCATAAAATGGCAAAATAAATGAGAATTAATGCTTAGCCACTAAATACATGCAATGATATTAGGTTGATCTATATTTTAAGGTATAAACACTAATCAGAATAAGGCTTGCAATGAAATGTTATAATTTTAAGTGCACGTTCTGTGTTCTGTTTCACTAACAAGATCACTTGGATTATGTATTAAATAAATGAAGACATACAATAAACACATGATACTACTCTATTTTTTACCTGACTGTGTCAACTAAATATGTCTTCTCATCAGTATCATTCCCACTTTCATTCCAGATGCCACCTTCCAGATGCCAAGCTAAGTCAAAAGATTATATAATTTGTGATGATTTGTAGTTCTATATCACATACAAATCAAAGGACATCGCCTTAGCTCAGTGTTTCCCAAGTTATGGGACATAATCCAAGAGATGTGCTGAATTGTACTGACCATTGCAGCATGGTGAGGAAGAGCACAGTTCTTTCTTCCATCTATGGCCCTTCTCTTTCTCCTGTATCTTCAGTTTTCCACCTCTTAAGAAGTTCCTCTAACTGCTTTTAAACAAGCACAAGTCTTTTCTTTCATAAAGCAAAGAACTTCCCTGACCTCATGCTTCCTATCTCTCTACTCTTTTACAGCCATATAGTTGAAGGAGTCTTCTGCTCACACTCTTTTCAATTCATCTGGCTTCCACATTTTCCAACCACCAAAACTAGTCTCTTCAATTTTGCTAGCGACCAACTTGCATCCTAAATCTTAGAGTTTAGCTTTTATCTTACTGGAATTCCCTGGTATGCTTGATACATTTGGACACTTCTTTCAGATGCTTCTTTGCCTGGCATTCCTAACACCACAGCTATGCTCTCTCTGCTCTCTCTGGGCATTTCTTAGTGTCTTTGAACACTTCTTACTCTGCTCCTTTAAAATTGGTGTACCTTAACATTCTCTCTCGATCTGCCTTTTCATTCTAAATATATTTCCTAAGTGAAATCATCCAGTTCTGTGGCTTTAGTTACCATCTATGTTCTCATGATCTCCCAAACTGTACCACCCACTTCAAATCTTTCTCTTGAACTCCAGATCATGTACCTAATTGTCTTTTGCCTCTTTTGTGCCTCTGAATTTTCTGAGAAATGATTGCAATGGTTTTCTTCCTTTTTCACGTTATCTTCTAGAACTTTGCTAATTCCCCATTCAGAATGGAGTCTTTCCTCTCACTTGAACCTGGGTTGACCTTTGAGACTGCCTTGACTATTAAAGTATCACAAAAGTGATTCTAGGGCCTGGGCGTGGTGGCTCATACCTGTAATTCCAGCACTTTGGGAGGCCAAGGTGGGCAGATCACGAGGTCAGGAGATTGAGACCATTCTGGCCAACATGGTGCAACCCCATCTCTACTAAAAATACAAAAAAAAATCCCAGCACTTTGGGAGGCCGAGACGGGCGGATCACGAGGTCAGGAGATCAAGACCATCCTGGCTAACATGGTGAAACCCCGTCTCTACTAAAAATACAAAAAAATCAGCCGGGCGCAGTGTCAGGCGCCTGTAGTCCCAGCTACTCGGGAGGCTGAGGCAGGAGAATGGCGTGAACCCGGGAGACGGAGCTTGCAATGAGCTGAGATCCGGCCACTGCACTCCAGCCGGGGCGACAGAGCGAGACTCCGTCTCAAAAAATAAAAATAAAAAAAATAAAAAAATAACTGGGCATGGTGGCACGTGCCTGTAATCCCAGCTACTCGGGAGGCTGAGGCAGGAGAATCATTGCTTGAACCTAGGAGGTGGAGATTGCAGTGAGCCAAGATCATGCCACTACATTCCAGTCTGGGCAACAAGAGCGAAACTCTTGTCACACACACACAAAAAAAAAGTATCATAAGAATGATTCTATGTGACTTTTGAGGATACCATTCTCATTCTCTGGGGGTATACAAACATTTTACTCTGCCACTATGCTGTGAGGAAGCCCAGGTGA